CGCCATCCCAAATAATTAAAATAATTGAAATATTTAAATATATAGAGGAAGCGAGGCGCTAAATATACCCTAGAGGTGTCTCTCTCATATATATATATATATATATATATATATGTATGCGCCTACATACAATATATATTCAGTAGAAACATAAGGTATGTGCACTTACTGGCTTATTTATTTGTTATGTTAGTATATATAGTTCATATAACCCTGGCTCATCCCAGCGCAGGCGATGCATGGTTCTGCTGGACATCATGAACAGGAGCAACGTATCCTGGCATCATGACGAGGCCCAGTCGACAGCTTGGGGAGCAGGGGAGTTAGTTCACTGTCAGGGCCAGACCAAGCGAAAGCTAAATCCTTTGTGAGTGGCTAGCTCGGCTAGGTAGGAATGTCAGTGTTCGTGAGACAATGCTCTGCAAGCACTACGTCGTGCCTGGCACCTCAGCAAAAATAATCCAAAGGTCAGCCTTTCAACTCAAAGAGCTTCATCACGGACACATTTTTGGGCATGCTTTTCAAGTGGCCACCCGCTGTAAGTGCAGTACGGCGATGTACATAGTTGCCAACAGTCGAGTGAAACTTGCATTCTCCGTTATCACGGCGTACAAACAAGAAGGAGATGCCGAATCTTGAGCTCGGCTGTTGCAGAGGGAGTGTTTATCCCGCCAAACACTTGGAGTAAACGGTGCATCCAGCTTCAAGTTAATGGTTCAACCTGAGCGCAACATTAGAGAGTCACCCCGGAGTTAGGCCAAGTGAACATGTGTCACTGAGAAGAGCAAAGCTCATTCATGACTCATGATCTTCCAGATGCCTGCATTGAATCGCCCTGTCTCTGGTCTGCGTTAAGCAGCGAGATGGTGTTGCACGTGGGCTGCGCGATTTGCGTTCAGTCCTTTTTCAAGTCAAGTTAGAGACAGGAGTCGGCAAAGGTGAGACAAGTCATATTGTTTGTGAATGCGACGCAGAAAATTTGGCCGAAGATCTGGTCCGGTCATATAGTGGAAGTGGCCCTGACAGACATTGTGCTCGATGTTTTCGTTTGGCAGAGTATCGTTGTGGGCTACGGAAGCTCTAGTAAAGTACAGCCAAGCTTTGCATGCCTGCAAGTCTGTGTGGGTGTGGATGCTTGCATGCATGGGTGTGTGTGTGTGTCTTTGCACGTCTGTCTGTATGTATGTATGTAGGTAGGCAGGTTCTATTGCTTCCGAGAGGTTTGGAGTGTCTAAGGCCTGGAGCGTGGCTTGCAAGCTCAAGTTCATATAGTCGAAACCATGGCTCGAATGGCTGTTGTGCAGCGAAGTCCAACACATGCCCATACCCGATGATCAATTATGCCATAAGTATGAGGCCAGCTCTAAGTCAGCAAAGGGTCCCAGACTGTCTTCGTGTAGCCGCTTCGCCATGAAGCCGCGTCCAAGCCTGGATTTGGCTGGCACCGCTGAATTCCTGAAGTCCGGTGCATGCAAGTCTGTCTATGTCCTGACAGGAGCAGGTGCCTCGACAGGCGCAGGTATCCCAGATTTTCGATCTCCGGGAGGCATGTACGACTCCTTGCGGCCAGAGCTTATCACTGCTACGGAGGCACAACGCAAGCGCATGCGCATGGACCCAGTCAATGTCGTCATGAAGGACATGTTTTTTCAGAACCAATTCCCTTACCTCGAGGTTCGAAGGCCTTTCATCCTGGGCACGCAACAGCAGCAGTGGAAAGCAACATTGACACACTGGTTCATGCGATTTCTGGAAGAGGAGGGCTTGTTGAAGCGCTTGTTCACTCAAAACATTGACGGCTTGGACTATCAAACTGGCATCTCGCCGGAACTTGTCACAAACGTCCACGGAAGCTTGGCACGAGTGTCATGTGAAGGGTGTGGCTATGAGATGCCGTTTGATGACTTCTGCGCACAAGTCCGCACGAATGTCAAGGACATTTATCGCACAGACCCCACTGCGCCTGCAGAATCTTCGAACATAAACTGTCCGCGGTGCAACGCCCCACTTGTGAAACCAAACACTGTTCTTTTTGGCAGCTCCCTCCCGTCAGAGCCACTTGACTGTCACAGTCTGATAGGTTTTTGTCGTCTGTCGTTTCATACCTGTGGTTCATGTGCTCATCACTTGTACTGGCACCATTCTGGGGATTTGTCTGTGCGATGCCTTAACGGATTTGGCCGCTGTGGGGACGGGGGGCGTTCCAAATGCCTCTTCGGACGCTGTTTCACTAGCCAAGGTTCTTCGAGCAACTCGATGATTTGAATGGAGCAGATCTACTGATCGTAGCGGGCACTTCCCTGGTCGTGTCGCCGGCCAATTCTGTGGTGATGTACGTGGCAAAGGACTGCTTGAGACTGATTGTCAACAAGGAGCCGGTTGGCCAAGATCTGGGCATCCGATATGGCAAAGATGCTACTCGGGACGTTTGGGCTGGCGAGGTCTCTTGCGATGAAGCTTTTCTCGATCTCATTAAAATGCTGGGATGGCAGGACAAGGTTCGCAAAATCAGGCATCTCTTGCCTGAGAGCAATCAAGCGATGGTGAAGGACTTATGATGCTAAAAAGCCGGGACCGCTATTCCGAGCCTGGGCCTGCATCAACTGAAAAGTTCTTGACAGAAGCACTTTCCCACGAGCTACAGCTGACGTGGATGATATCCGACTAAAATCATTCATTTGCATATTCCTTCATTTGCATCATATTCAGAGATGATAGAAGACATAAAAATATATTCAAATATTATGGAAAATATTAAAAGGCTTTTACCTTTTACAATAGATCATATTGAAAATTGAAGATTTTAGGAATATGAATGATATACATATATATATTTATTTATTTATTTATTTATGATCTACTTGAAAATTCTATATAAAATTATATGAAAATTTTCGAAAATAGAAAACTGCGAATTTTATGATAATATATTCTCAAAATATTGATTATATTTTTAGTATCTAATTGACATTGAAATATTCTTGATTCTGAAAATATCGTTAGATTGATATAAATTATAATATTGATAATCAAAAATAAAATTAGAAATATATTATTTTGGAATATATTATTATAAGAATATGTTCTTAAAAATTCTTCTATATATAAAATAAAGAAATAAAAAAGGAATTGAAAA